ATTTGCACTAGCAGGGCTTCGACCAGGGCCGTGTAAGTTGTCGGCGAGGTGCACACGGTCGGAGAAGAAGCATGAGAGGGCTTGATCATGAGGGATGATGTAGTTCATCGAAATTGAAGAGCAAGTTGAGGACAACGCCCCGTAGTGGCAATCCTATGATTTTCAGGTCGAACCAGATTTTCATCTGTGGAAGAGTCCGAATCAAGCTGCGTCATTTTCCGCCAGCTTATGCGCCAAGGTACGCGCATTTAGTTGCGGTCCCTCACAATCCCGGAAGCCGTACCTATGTGTAGCTTCCGCAACCGTCGAACAAAATATCAAAGAGATCTGAGTCGGGCATTAAGGATTGCATCTAGAGATAGCCACAGCTATTCCCACGTTTAATTCCTCTTACTTGATCCAACCTGCAGACCAATCTCACCAACTGTTTCCATCCCCAGCCATCGTAGTCGCCGTCACCTTCGACCCTGCTGGCCTCGCTCCCGTCCCCTCCCTTCCAGAACCGCTTTTGCTCCCTGACCCGTCCTCGTTCCAGTCTTCGCCCGCGCTGCCCTTCCGGAAGAAGATGTAGTAGACGATGCGTCCAAAGAAGATTCCTTGCACAACCGCACCAGCAAGGAGGACCGTGAGCGAGTAGATGACGAACCAGAGCGTTTCGTCGACCTTGACGACAAAGAGAACGACCATGAAGGAGGCGGAGACCACGGCGAGGTTGTAGATCTGGTGTGCGGAGGGGCCGGCGTGAGTAGGTGGGGTTGGGGAGAGCAACGACAGAGGGGATAGCTTACCGCCAGGGCGATGCTTTTCGATTCACCGAAGCGGTCGGGGATGTTCCGTGTCCGGTATGCAAGCACAATGGCGAGGAGTACGATAAAGACCTTTGAACGTTGTGAGACATTAGTCTCAGCGCTACCGCTGCAAGAAAAGAATCGGACATACCTTGTATGCAACCAGAACCGGCATAATAATCGTTGTCTCAAACTTGCAGGCAAGTATCCATCTACCTGTCGCCGCATCCTGCATCTCCCCGATGGATGGTTTGCCCATGATAGGGAGGGCAGCAAGCAATGCGAGTTCGACGAGGATGAAGGGGAGCATCAGGAGGACTATCTTGGAGTCGGTGACGTTTTCGACCCGTTTCTTGGCACCAAAGATGGCGATCAGGCGGTAGCTGTGGCAGGGTGAACGAAGAAATAGAAAGTTAGAATCAAAGGGCCGAGCGAAGTAAACCCCCCGGTGGACATACTTTCTGACGAGGAGCGCCGACATCAGAATTACGAAGCTAAGGCATGGAAGCATAATCTTCAAGCTGCAGGTAGTGACGGTGGGTGATCCAGCCGCGGTAAATGGCCCGGCGTATGCAAGGGCGAGGGAGCATAAAATCTGAAAAACAATAATAATATTAGACCTCGAAGCCCGCAGCGGAGAAAGGAGAAAACTCACAATGACATTGAACATGAATCCCTGAGCTTTGACCACATTCTGGTGTCGCTTTAGGACGAGGAGAACCAGCAAAGCCACCACGGAGAGGATGAGGAGCACCGTGATGGCCAAAAATGCGATGCCGGCGATGGCGGTATAGTCGACGAAGCGCAACACCTTTTGGACTGATCGCAACAGGATGGAATTAAACATGGAGGCAAAGCTTTTGGCCTACCATCGCATTTTGCTCCCTCCCAACCCTCTTTGCAGATGCATTGGTTGAATTGACAGTAGCCGTTTACGCCGCAACCAGAGTCGCATTCTGTTGAATTGAACGTTTAGAGGTGTCATGGACGAGGGGAAATAATGCTGCAACATAAACTTACTGCGGAACCATATCCACGAGTTCCAGGTGTTCTAGAGTTTTAAAGAATCTGATCAGTAAAAAGTCTGGGATAGTCCTCAACCACGGTGTAGCACTTACCGTGTTGTTTTTGACCCAAGCGCAGGCGACGTCCTCCAGGCTCGAGTTGCGGTAGCTAATCTCGCCGAGCATTCCGTTCAAGTCCTCGTTTGTGAGCGCGATCTGTTTGGCCAGCCAGTACATTTCGTCGCTAGAGGGAAAACATATCAGAAACAGAATGACGATGGTGTTGTTACCTTAGGCTCTGAAGCGACGAGGACAAGATCTTTTGTGGGAAGCTCGGTTGAAAGTCACAGTTGAGCGCGTCCCCCTTTCCACACGTCCGCTCATCAAACTCGGGAAGCGCAATCCTCACCATCTTGAACCTGTCATCCCTCCGGTACAGGTACTCAGAAAAGATCTGATGCGGCTGCCACAGAGAAAACACCATCGGCACACCCATCAGCGTCAAACTGCGCCAGACTTCTGCCGCGTAAGCATCGTCCTCGCCAGAGTACTGAACGTCGGCTTGCAGGTTGAGGTTGCGGACGAGTGCGGGGTTGGGGTCGTTGGCGTAGGAGGGGAGGATGGTGAGGATGAGGGCGCGGTTGCCGGTGGCGAACCAGTCGGTGCGGTTGGTGGAGGGTTGGGCGAACTTTGGTTTGGGGAGGTTGGCGATCACGGAGCTGTTTGAGGGAAACGGGTGCGAGTGAGATTGTGGCTCTGTGCTGGGTGCAGGGAACCAACATGTCTTACTCGTTGAGGGAAAAGAGGCGGGCGATGCTAGCATCCCTGAGACCGCGGAAGGAGGCCATGGCCGGCCAAGCGTCCACCGCCCACTGAGGAGCAAACCTGCAGAATAACAGTCATTAGGAGATCTTTGCTTAACGTCTAAAAATATAAACACACCATCCGCTTAGGGCGTTCTGGCCGTTAGCGCCCGCCGATTCAATCTTTCGGTTGCTGCTCAGTGCAAAGTCCGTGATGTACTTTTTGCGCTCGTCCGTGGTAATCCACACATCTTCGAAAGTAAGTACTGGGCTGCCCGTCCAAATCTCACCCAACGACATGTGAACGCTTCCGTTGACCAGCCGGTCCCAGTTGTAGACCTTATCCGCATCCGGCGCCGCGAATGTGATAGGGTAAGAGAGCACCTCCTCGGCCAAGATCTTAAGCACGTGGTTGTAAATGCTTCCGGAGTTCCAGGTATATCCATCGAGGACTATCGGGGGCTTCCCGGCTTTAGCCCAGGCGGCCAGACGCTGCCGGTCCGGATCCTGGAGGCATCGCTTGGTGGTTTGGGCGTGGCCGAGCGGTGAGAGAACGCTGAGGATGGCAATGAGCCATACGAGCATGACGGTGGTCATTTCAGCGGCGGTAGCTGGCTCTAGTCTAAGAAAAGCTCAAGGACTAAAGATAGAAACGAAAAACTATCGTGGTGTTTTGGCTATTTGAAGGATCGAGCGGACGCCTCATTCACTTTTCGGACCTTAAGAGCCAAGAGCGCATCCGTATTTTTGAGTTCGTTTCAAGCCAGGCCCATGTGTTTCGGATGTATAAGGAGTGTTTTGGGGGGACGGGGTATTTTTAGGAGCTCGAAGTTCTTGGAACAGAACCGTCACAGACCCAAGGTCGTTTCAGGAAACCCTGCGGAGGTCGTCTAAAGGGTCGGGGCCCCTGACGACGCGGATTGGTGCGCTCAGGTCTGGGCTTGTGCAAGCTTGCACAATTGGGGTCTGCTTCGCAGGTGTTGTGCGATGACTGTCCACGACTCGGGGCGAGAGCGCAAGTATTTGGGGACACGAGGTGGTTGGTGGAGAAGGATATAGCTCCGAACTGACAGTGGTTGCGCGCGTTTGTGCTCGATCATTTTGGTCATTAGCCTTGTCCAATGAGTTTGATTATAGCACTAGCGGAGCATAATCAAACATGCAGCCAGAACATGGTGCGGACCAAGCCAATCCACAAGCTGTGAACAGGGGCCGGAATGTGCACCTGATCTTATCGCATCGACGGTAGGATTCGACCGTGGCTTCTAATTCCAGACGCACATTGGAAGCAGGCGCGAGCCAGCGCGCTAGCTGATCGACGAGATTCCCGACACGAGCAAGACCGTGGGAAAGTCGATGACTGAAGATACGCGCTCGTTGTAGTTCTTCGCGCAGCAACTCAAGCTCAGGCGCAAAAGAAGAGAGGGTTTTTCTTTCGAAAATTTTGAATTTTTCCGTCACTTGCGCAGACCAGGGGGTGGAGGCGGGGGTTTGCCACCTCGGCGAGCGCTGCATGGGCCACACCCGCTCGACGTCGCTGCGCTTGCTCGGCCGTCCTCGGTCAATGGATTGGACGCTCCGACTCCCTCGAGGCCGGTCTCTGGATGGAGATGACGGAGGTAGGTTGGTTTCTGGCAAGCACTTGTTGACTGCTGGTCAAGCAGCGCACAGCTTTGCCGAGTCGGTTCGCCCAAGTGCTTAAAGTCGTCGATTACGGGAGCTCTGCGGCCATCGGCAGCGCTTGGTAGAGTTTTCTTGAGGTGGGTGGATGCTGGTTTTGACGACGACTCGGATGTGCCACATCATCGGTTGACTCATACTCCTCCACACCACAGCTCGCAGGGTATTTTGCCGCTTCCGCTCATTCCCCAGCACTCCCTCGCAGGACCTGTACTCGTTCACCGCCAAGTTCTTTCAGTTTGCTGTTCATGGTAGTGAGACCGCCCCCCCCGCTTTCTGGAACAGTTTTGACTGGCGAAGGTGGTCGAGTCTCGGCTGCCCTCCTGACACCATGCTGGAGGTATCTTCTCGAGGCCAATATCACCGCGGACAAAAACCGTCGACAGTATTATTTAGGTCCACTTGGAATTGCGGTTATAGGTAAGCGGCCCACATATTTCCTTTTTGCAAACGGCATACTATGCTCTTATCTATCCCCAATTCCGCTTCTCCTGTTAGCTTAGACCGCTCAGACCGCTTGGACCTTGATGGACCACTCGCGCGTTACCCTTGGAGTCGACTTTTTTCCCTTTCGTTCCCTCGCAACTCGGTCGATCCGGTCTACCCGTCCTCAACAGATATCTACCGTGAGCCTCTCCACCAATCAGATTGCGAAGAAACGTCGATTTGTAGACTGCCACAAAACGCGCATGGCGACTTTTCGAGTAAAAGCGGTAAATACTACTGCCTCCCTAGCTCAGTTGGTTAGAGCGTCTGCCTAGTAAGCAGGAGGTCACCAGTTCGAATCTGGTGGGAGGCATTGGTGCTCCGCACCACTGCATATCAGTCACTATCATAGCCTCCCTAGCTCAGTTGGTTAGAGCGTCTGCCTAGTAAGCAGGAGGTCACCAGTTCGAATCTGGTGGGAGGCATGGGTTCAAGTTGGCCCCCTTTTTTTTGCTGCCGGACTTCGTTTTCGCTGTTGTGACTCCCTCAAGGAAGTCGGGGAAGCTGTCGACGGCGGCGTAAACGTCTTCTCAACTTCGGCCGCTAAAAACTTTTTTTTTCCTAGTCAATAGGACTTTTTCTAGGAACGGTGCGAGACGCGGGAGAGAAAGCTGGACAGAAGTAAGCGCTCAGGAATCTTCTACGACGCTGCAAAGCTCTTTTTTTTTGTTGTTTGTCGGTGTCAACTTGAATTCCCCATTGCGCCCCGGCTTGAATTCCCGTTGTGCCCCGCTTTTTTGCCGGTATGGCGTCTTTCTGGAGGTTGCGACGTTTTCAAGGGAATCCGAGGAGCCAAAGCCGCCGATACTTTCATTTTTTTCGGTGAAGATAGCCAGCTACTCGGACAAGCGACGCGAGACGCGCAAGTTATATGCGACAGAAGGGACGACGGATGGACTCGAAAACCCGGTCATTTAGTCGGCGACGGCTGGCATTCTTATGCTTTTTATTATTCTTTTTGTTGGGAAAGAGCAACATGACAGAATCATTTTCCACTCAATGTGCATCGGAGTACCACTTCACACGTACGGAGGAAGATGCGGTCGTCAGAAGCATATCCAAGCTGTCGGATAGAGAGAGGCGCAGACATCGAGGCCTTAAAAACCGCTTTTAGGGCCTGGATATCTGCGCCTTTCCTCTTACGCGACAGCCGTTTCGTCCCTTGGATCGGCGAGACCTGGTCTTTGCTGCCGTCGGGCGGTCAGGGCGTCAGAAGATGCAGCTTGCGAGGCAGGACTTGGATCGGAAGCTCACCGCGGAGAAAGACTGGACCGCAGGACGTTGATGCTGTGCAAGGTAGCAAGAAAAACAAAACTAACTTTCCTGCTTATACCTCATCTCAAAGAACGACTTTGCGGTCTACACGACTAGCAATCGGTGCCGTGAAAGAGCCGGCGATGGGAAACTATGGAAAGTTGGCTCCGAATCGTGGATCGGGGGATGGACTCGCGTTGTTCAGCACATTGCCGCTTCTTTCGCGAGTAACAGACGCCGTGGATATGGCCGTGCCGGGAGCCGGGATGGTGGCATTTCGTCAAGGGCTCAAAGAGGAATCGACCATTTGCATGAGCCGGCCACATGGAGAGGCAATGGCAGGCAGCCGACGCACTGATGCAGGAACGGGACTCGCGAGTGTCGAGAGCGTGGAACGTCTGGCAAGAGGACGGGGCTGGGTGTCTACGGCCGGCCATGGATCATGGAGCGAGGGGTGGAGCCAAGATGGACGATTTGATGCCGCAGATGCTGGATGCGCCGACGATATTCCCCGCTACGACTCGATCGCCGACTGCCGCTTGACGGGTCTGGAGGTATTGCTACGAATGGGGCATCCAGGGAGTTTTCTGGTGCTGCCACCTGCATGAACACACTGCGATCGGAATCCGCATCCAGAGAACTGCTGGTTGCGGCCGTCGAGACTTCCGGGTCCGGGCGTAGGCGAGCGACCTTGAAGCGGGCGGATCTTTGGAGCGGGTGGATCTGGATCCCCGGGTGGATTCCGGATCAACTCTGCAAAGGTGTTTGGATGAAGCTCACAGCTGAACAAGCCACACTGCAAATTTTGCTTGAATGAAGGAGAGTGCATAACTAACTGCTAGGCGTGCCGGAGGATGAACCCTAAGGTCTAAACGCACCGCATGCTCTCTCGGACACCAGCCGATGTTGGAGGTTATTCCCGTTCCTCAAAAGCGGAGACTCCACACCAAGTTCTGCATATGCGGAAAGGAGGACGGATGATGCTGGATGACGGAGCGAATGTCCTGGACAATACCCGGAATCAATCAATCGCCCCAAGTACTAGTGGCGGGGACTCCTTGGAGCATGAACGACGGCTGGAATGCAGTTGGCCGTGGGTTTCCTCCACGCTGGACTCGTTGGCTGCCCGTGGCGCGGATAAGCTGTAGCGGTCACCCCGGGGTTCCTGCCAGCTCTGTCACATGCGAACACCCCGCCAATCTCCCTGAGGCAAGGTGAGGCTATGTCTAACAACGCAATGCAGCCCGATAACGGGGTCGCTGTTTTCCCTGCGGCGTCCCCTTTGCTGGAACAAATATCGTGATAATCGCCATAGAATAAAATGGGAACAAGGTCACCCCGAATGTAAATCTGTTCGCGTCAATCACTTGTGACCTTGCGCCTAGAAATTAGTGCCTCGTGCCTAGAAAAGCATTTCGCTACCCGGGCGGCGACGAGAATCCGTTCAGCTGCAAAGTGTTTGATTCACTTTGTTGTTGGTCTTTGTTGTCCTTCCATTCTTGGTTAGCGGCTGTCAATCACACTCCCCCGGCCCTCCTTACTTTCTTATTCCCAATATCCCATTTTCCTTCCCTACAAAAGCGAACGCCCTGACCTCCATTCCCCCCACAAAAAGTTTTAGCTCACTTGTCAACTACCCAGCTCCCCGGCACCCAGCGCACTACACATCCCTCGATCCCCTCGCCGTCGACACCGTTGATCCACAACCACCACCAACCAACCCCCTACAACCAACAACACTCAGAAGAAATGGCGGAGCAGAAGCAGATGTCGACCGGCGACCTCAAGGAGTGGAAGTACCCGCTCATGAACTCGCACATGGTGAGCTCGACTCGAGCGATACCTGTCATTTCTGTTCCTGGTGCTAACAGGCCGTCTCTTTCACTTTATCACCTTATTCCAAACCCCTCAACAGGACATCATGAACACCATCATCGCGTGCTGTGTTCCCTGCATCACCCACGGCCAGATCCACGAAAAGGCCGGCTGGGGTACCTGCATGTCGGGCGGCCTGGTCTATCTGCTTGCCTACTGCTGCGGTTGCTGCTACTGGTAGGAGTCTTTTTGCTATTGAGCTGTTCGTCTTTCCTCCCTCATTGCGAAACACGAGTTTTGACCACGTTCCGTTGTCTCCCTCCAACTCCCAATAGCGTCGACACCTGGCGCCGTGAGACCCTCCGCCGTGAGAAGGGTATCCGCGGTAACGTCGCCGACGACATCCTTGCGTCCTACGCCTGCGAGGTCTGCGCGAGGGTTCAGGAGCTCCACGAGGTCCAGGACTAAAAAAACCCGAATCTGCCACTGTTCTTCACCCCCAAATCAAAGATAGAGGCGAGATGAGCTAGACGGGATTGCGTTTGTAAGAGAGACCTTTTCTGTATTTGTACTTTTGGTTTACATGGCGATGGAAGATGACTGGGGTTGTTCCTTTGAACCCCACGTCTTCCCCCTACTCCAGCGTTTCTTTCACATTCGTGTAGACACGTTCCCCAAAATAAAAACTACGCCGGTGCTTATACAAAGACTTGATATTGAAGTTCCGAGTCCGCTGGATGAACCGAAGGATTGTCAGATGGAATTGTCAGGAAGCCGAAAGTAGTTAGTTTTGCAGCCATCTCAGCGCAGTTGCATTTACTGCACGCCATCTATGCGGAAATATAAAGCAATAGCCAAATTAAGATCGCGGCATTATCAACTCACTCGGTTTATTTCCCCTCCTAATCCTGATCCACAAACAAGTACGGACAAGGGAATGACTTCGGCCGTTGTTTTCTCAAGAACTGTAGTAGATAAAAACTAACTTTTATAGTAGAATAGGAAGACGAGAGTTCAGGCTTTACACAGATCGGTCTGAAGGCTCTTGCTGAATAAAAATAAATATCGACTATTCTAAATCCAAATCGCCTAAGTTTTATATAAAAATAAAGCTTGAGTTTCATAATATCTCCTGTATTCGTTTCGTGTCTGAATTATTACGACTGCTTGTGTATAGTTAGAACAAGTAAACACAACTTGCAGTGCGAAATGTGCTCATTCTCTCTGCCTTGCGTAACCAAGGTCGCAATTCAGTCATTCTCTTTATGACGACAAGATTTTCCACGTTTGTTTACGATACCTTAGCTCTCATATTCAACAAGCACCGGGAAATTTAAGATCGGTGGAATAACAGTTGATTGAACTCATTCACAAAATACTTACATGCCGTTTCGAGATCCCACAATCCCGGAGTGTCTTAAGGAGTAGGCAGTATCGGCAGCATCGGACTCCAAAGTGCACTATACATTGGAACGGCTTTACTAGCGCTGTTGCAACAATGGCGGCATTTTTCGACGACGTCGCGGCACATTCGGTTCAGCAGAAGTTTCGATCTATCCTCGATTAAACTCCAGAATGCCATGGGCTCAATCAAAGCTAAGTCAAGTAAAGGGGGGAAAAGCGTGCCGAACAATTAGCAATGAAATTCCTCCTGAGCTTGGGTCCGAGTGATGGCAGTAACAAAGAGAAATAAACGGTTTGAAGTTCCAGGGTTGTAAAAAGGTCATGAGGAACCTTTTAGGGAAACAAAGTGACGGTCTGGAGAACCAGGTAATAAGTCTAGTAGTTTATTAGCGTCGTCGTTCGTAAAGAGTGTAAGACAGACGGAGTGAATATGACAGCGAACGGTGGGCTTGAACGCAGACTTGACGGTCTTAAATTAATAGTTTCCGCCCTCGGTCCTTTTCCGTGGCTTTCTCGGCTCGCTTGATGCCAATTAATTATGAAGCAAGCATATCGGAGCCCACGACTATCAGGCTCACGCAATTTCGGGAACTTTTCCTTGCGGCATTGCTGGTGGTGGCGGGAAAGCATCGGCCGAGGTGGTATCCGCTGCAACTGCATCGATATCTCTTCCGTCTGTGACAAGAGAATCTCCTGCATCCGCCGTCGGCTTCAGGTCCATCAGGAATAGGAAAGCGTCGGGTGGAGGCTCGACGCCCTTGTTGCGAAGGTAGTATCCCTCGACCTTCCCCCCGAGCTTGAAGTCACGGGCTTTGTAGAATCGGATGGCTTCCTTGTTGG